TCACTGAGTTGCTTGGCACCTCACTTTTGCTGAGGCTGGCTTTGAAGTCATGTTCCTCCTGTGTCAACCTCCCAAGCTGCTGGATTTACAAGCATGAGCCACCATGCCCAGCTCAAATAGCTATTTCTTACAAGACTTTTAAATTAGAGATGCCAATTAAACAATTATGACAATAGGGAAGGTATAGCTTACACTTAATACTTACTAAAAAGTTTAAGTTACACTGCTATCATTTTACTAAAATATTTTAAGTCATCTTATAATAAAAATGCTTTATATACTTTAACCAAAAAAAAAATATGCAACAAACTCTACCCACACAAGAGATTCCTTCACTGAGATACTGTTCAGTTCTTAGAGTTAAATCCAGCTCCGTTTGGCAGATACTTAATTCTCTGAAGTGAATTATGACAAAGTCAATTTTTCTTAGAATTTGACTCCTTCATAATTGGAAAGCATCACTCAATTCTTCCATACATTACAGTCATTGGTACTCTCACTCTATTCTGTGCTCAGAGCCTCTGCTGTGTCTACAATCTTGCTGCACATTTGATGTCCCACTCTTGATTGGGTTCAGGCCCATCAAATCCATCCCAAGTACTCTAAACTCCAAACATTTTGCCAGAATGGAAGATCTAAGTCGTGCCTTGCACAAAAGTTAAAATATTTGAATTTACTATACAATGCCCAAGTTTCCAACTTGTGAGCATTAAGGCATCATTCAGAGAATCCAGAACTATCAGATTCTCAAAAGGAGAGCAATCGTGCCTGATGCCCAGGTTGAGGTTTGTTTTTTCTTTTAGGTTTCCTGATTTTCGGGCATTTTTTGCTCTTAAAATTTCCACTTACAAATTTTTCCACTTAAAAAAAGAAAGTCTGCCCCACTCTTTCAATTATATATTTGTTAAAGAAGCCCTGGTAACAGCTGGCTTTAAAACACAGAGTTGAGGGTTGTGAATTCATTGACTCTCATATCAAAGCTCAACAATGTGTCCATTTTTTGATGTCATTAGGCCTCTTCCAGTAATAGCATCCTTGAGAGAAAACATTTAAAAAAGCTCCATCCACAAAAATAATTGTCATACTTTATAATAGTCAAAATTTGAAAATAACCTGAATATCTGACACTACAAATGTAAATAGTGATGTAATTGCTTGCTGAAAAATTATACAGCAAAAAAAAAAATGATGCTTATAATTGGGTGTAGTGGCAAACACCTGTAATCCCAGTGGCTCAGGAGGCTGAGGCAGGAGGATCACGAATTAAAAGTCAGCCTCAGCAAAAGTGAGGCACTAAGCAACTCAGCGAGACCCTGTTTCTAAATAAAATACAAAATAGGGCTGGGGATATGGCTCAGTGGCCGAGTGCACCTGAGTTCAATATCTGATACAAAAAAAAAGGTGCTTACATTCTTTTAAAAACTTGTTAACCAATTGAGTTCTAGGTATTATAAGTAATTAGGAAAAATTAGCTGACAACAAGCATCACTTATTTAGAAATAGAAGCCTGCACTATTTGGCTAAAATCCACTCCTGTTTCCTGCTGTAATTGATAAACATAAAGATATTGTGAGACTTTGCAAATTTAACTAAGTCTGTTTCTGTAATAAAGTAGGAACCTAAAAAAATTGTTTTTAAGGCAAAGTAGAGTATTAAATATTGGTGTTTTTGCCGCCTGTGCCCGACCGCAGGGGGACAGCCACTGCATAAGACCTGTGGTCTCCACCCAGCACCAAGCTGACTCTGTTGTTCTTCTGGACCTCTGACACCACATCTGCCAGCTGCTCGTTGGCTTTTCCCACAGACTTTGGATTCTTCACAATTTGAAAGGGGCTGTCGTTAGGAACATCAGCAAAG